TCTCCCAACAAACAAAACCCCAGAGCCAGATGGCTTCTCAGGGGAATTCTACCAAACATTTAAAGAATTAATACCTATTTTCTGAAAATCTTCCAAAAAATAGAAATCGGAGGAAAACTTCCAAACTCGTTTTATGAGGGCACCATTACCTTGAATCCAAAACCAGACAAAGACCCCATCAAAAAGGACAATTACAGACCAATATCCTTGAACATGGATGCAAAAATTCTCACCAAATTACTAGCCAGTAGGATCCAACAGTACATTAAAAGGATTACTCACCACGACCAAGTGGGATTTATCCCTGGGCTGCAAGGTTGGTTCAACATCCACAAATCAACTAATATGATACAATATATTAATAAAAGAAAGAACAAGAACCATATGATCCTCCCAATAGATGCACAAAAAGCATTTGACAAAGTACAGCATCCTTTCTTGATCAAAACTCTTCAGAGTATAGGGATAGAGAGTACATACCTCAATATCATAAAAGACATCTATGAAAAACCTACAGCGAATATCATTCTGAATGGGGAAAAACTGAGAGCTTTCCCCCTAAGGTCAGAAACATGGCAGGGATGTCTACTATCACCTGTGCTATTCAACATAGTATTAGAAGTCCTAGCCACAGCAATCAGACAACAAAAAGAAATAAAAGGCATCGGAATTGGCAAAGAGGAAGTCAAACTCTCACTCTTTACATTTTGTGTGCAAAACCCAAAAGACTCCACTCCAAAACTCATATGGGAATTCAGTAAAGTGGCAGGATATAAAATCAATGCACAGAAATCAGTGGCATTCCTCTACACCAACAACAAGACAGAAGAAAGAGAAATTAAGGAGTTGATCCCATTTACAATTGCACCCAAACCCATAAGATACCTAGGAATAAATCTAACCAAAGAGGCAAAGAATCTGTACTCAGAAAACTATAAAATACTCATGAAAGAAACTGAGGAAGACACAAAGAAATGGAAAAACGTTCCATGCTCATGGATTGGAAGAACAAATATCATGAAGATGTCAATGCTACCTAGAGCAATCTACACATTCAAAGCAATCCCTATCAAAATACCATCCACTTTTTTCAAAGAAATGGAACAAATAATCCTAAAATTTGTATGGAACAAGAAAAAAACCCGAATAACCAGAGGAATGTTGAAAAAGAAAAGCAAAGCTGGCGGCATCACAATTCCAGACTTCCAGCTGTATTACAAAGCTGTCATCATCAAGACAGTATGGTCCTGGCACAAAAACAGACACATAGATCAATGGAACAGAATAGAGAGCCCAGAAATGGACCCTCAACTCCATGATCAACTAATCTTTGACAAAGCAGGAAAGAATGTCCAATGGAAAAAAGACACTCTCTTCAACAAATGGTGTTGGGAAAATTGGACAACCATATGCAGAAGAATGAAACTGGACCATTTCCTTACACCACACAAAAAATAGACTCAAAATGGTTGAAAGACCTCAATGTGAGACAGGAGTCCATCAAAATCCTAAAGGAGAACACAGGCAGCAACCTCTTTGACCTCAGCCACAGCAACTTCTTCCTAGAAACATCACCAAAGGCAAGGGAAGCAAGGGCAAAAATGAACTTTTGGGACTTCGTCAAGATAAAAATCTTTTGCACAGCAAAAGAAACAGTCAACAAAACCAAAAGACAACCGACAGAATGGAAGAAGATATTTACAAATGACATCAGATACCAACTAGCTCCATCTATCATTGTACAAATAAAGACATTATAGTCCAAGAAGCCTATAGAAATTGTCAGAGTCAGGATGGGAATCTGGGACTCCTGACTCACTACTGGGTCAGCTCCAGTCCTACTGCCCTGTCTTGTTAATGTTAAAACAAAGCAAAGTCCCATGTGGTTTTCAAGACATTTGCTGAAATGTCATGAAGAGATTGTTTTGTCATCTCTCTTTTACAGACTCAAGTACTGGAGTCATAGTGCCTTGATTTAAAGCCTAGCTCTGTCATTTGAAATGTGACATTAGCAGGTTACTTAGTTTTCCTGTGCTTTAGTGTCCTCATTTATAAAATGGGAAAAATGCAATGCTTTCTTAAGGGGTGTTAAGACTAAATGCGATAATACATGTAATTAGTTTGCAGTTGCATTAGGCACACAATCACCATATCATAAATAGCAGCTATTATTATTTATGTTCTATTTCTGATGCATAGCAGGCAAGGTGGTTCCACTATAAGGTCAGAGGCTTGGGAACTAGGAAGGTGATTATTTGTCCCTTGATACTCACAGGTCTACTCGGGTACACTTCCTTAGGGACTTGGATCAGATTGCTATCATAGAGCCAGAGTATGTCTCATCCTCACAATTTTCCAATAGGTTAATTCATTACAATCGGCCAGACCCTGAGCTGGGCTCTAAGACTCCAGAGATGAAAAGGATGGAGTGCTTCTTCACAGTTCAGCCAATCAAAGGCCCCTCAACAAATGAAGACAGTACAGTGGAATAAGTCAAACCGTGTTGAGGAAGAGGTGAGACCTAATATGTTTGCCAACAAGGCTCCTCAGAGAGCCCCAAAGGCCACCAGCAAACCTCTTTGCTTTAGAACTTGATGAATGTCCGAGCTGAAAATCCAGCCTGGGACCCTAGGAATAAGACTGATGGACAGGGAGAGGATTACTTGTCTTTGAGCAAAGCTCTTTTCTGGGCCTTTGATCCCTCACCCATGAAATGGGTAGATTTGTTAGGATCACTAAGTATTAAAGAAGAAGTATGTTTAATGCTCACTCAACAGCACATGTACAATACAGAGAAGATTAGCGTGGCCCCTGTGCAAGGATGACACACAAATTTGAGAAGCATTCCATATTTTCAACTGAAAAATAAAATTCATAAAGAAAAAGAGAGGAGGGCACCTGGGTGGGTCAGTTGGTTGAGCGACTGCCTTCGGCTCAGGTCATGATCCTGGAGTCCCGGGATCGAGTCCCGCATCGGGCTCCCCTGCTCGGCGGGGAGTCTGCTTCTCCCTCTGACCCTCCTCCCTCTCATGCTCTCTGTCTCTCATTCTCTCTGTCTCAAATAAATAAATAAAATCTTTAAAAAAAAAAAAGAAAAAGAGAGGAAGTAAGTTTGGCACATAGCAAGTACATACAAAATAATAATAATAATATACCTTAAAGAGCAAAAAAAAAAGATGGATCCATTAAAATGTTCTCTGAATTAGATCTAGGTTAACTTGTTCCAAAACTCTTTAAAAAAATCCCATAAGAAAACTGAACCTGTAGCACTGCTACATCAAAGAGCTAAATAGACAGCTTTAACTCCAGAGAAGTGCCTGCTTCCCACCCCAACCAGAGCTACAGAGCTGCAGTGAGTGTTAGAATCAAGGGCCTGTGGTCTCAAAAGCTGAGTCCAAGACAGTCAGCAGCTCTGGCTATAGCCACAAGGAAGAAAATAGAAATCAGTCCTTGACCTACCAGGAAAGCACTTTGCTATTCACCCAAAAGAATACATGAACTTTCAGGGATCCTGAAGGGGGAGGAAGGAAAGTTAAAGGATTGGAGTCATAGTAATTCTTCTGTGTGTGAGCTCTGATTCAAAAATGCCTTTTCCTTACTGTTGCGTTATCATCCTTCTCCTGGCAGGTGTGGCTTAGGGAAGCAAGCCTGTGTGTGTGTGTGTGTGTGTGTCTGTGTGTGTGTGTGTACTTCCCCTGGGAAATGACAAATGGGCTAAAATTGTAGTAACATCAAAGATTAAAAGATACACTTGGCTGTAGGAAGTAGGGATGGGATGGAAATGAAATGGAGAAAGACTTTACAAGAGAATCACTTTGACTTACAAACACCATCAGAACAGGGACAGGGTTGATCTAATCTTTCATTATATCTTCAGCATCTAGCACAACGGCATGCAGCAGGCATTCAGTGAGTATCAATTGAAAGGACAGATTAATGAAAAGGAGAAGAAAAACATTCCAGACACAGGTACACAGGATGTAGGACATCACTCTTGGTCTGTCCAGAGTCTACCTAATAGAAGTGAGAATCAATTACCTAAGAGAGGGTGGAGTTATCTGCTTTTTTATAGCAAGCCTGGGCCCAAACCTTTGCAAAGGTGAAGCTGCTGATTGGAGGATATGATAGAGTCTTTTACCTCCCAACTCACCTGTGACTTACTGCCCAATCACAGGTTGGCTTCCTCCTCAGGGAAAGGAACAGTCTTGGTGGATAGACCACAAAAGATGAGGGAGAAAAGGAGGGGCTGCTCCTCCCAAGTGTTGCAGGTGCAAGAGAACAGTGACCTTTCTCTTAAGGATTACCACACAAATGTGAAGCCCGATGGCTGGTAGCATGTTTCCAAGAAAAAGAGCCACTTTATTTTTTTTGGTTGGGAACAAGCAAGGACATAGTGAATCAAGGGAAATATTGGGTTTCAGTATGAATCAAAGCAAAAACATGGAGGGATGAAGATAAAGATCTCTTACTATTTTCTCAAGTTGGGCAAAGGTACAGGAGGGATGAAGATAAAATAGTTCTGCATGATGGAGCCCAGGATATTGTGAATAAGCACTGCTGATGTGAGGTAGGCAGAGACCAGACTATGTCATACTGAGAGTTCTGGAGTTTATTCTGAAGATCAAAGATTCCAAGGGAAGTTTATAATCTGGAGAGTGGCAGGATCCTATTGACACTGGAAAGCAAATTCTCATTCAGATTCTTAATGTATGGAAGATTCTGAAAATGGCCACAAACTCTTCCAGTTCTTGCATGCACACCTTTTTCATCCAGGGGCAGAGTATATTCTCCCCACCCCACCCGTCTTGAATTTGAATTTAGCCTTTTGCTTTCTTTGACCATTAGCACATCGGTAAGCATGATATAAACAAGGTTGAAAGTGCTTGCACATTAGGGCTTTTTCTCTCTCTGAGATTACCATGGACCTGAGCCCAAACTAGTCTGCTGAAGTAGGAGAGGTCAAGGGGAGGAGACTGAGGCACAGTGTGAACAGTCTACAACAGTCAGACATTGGGAGTGTGACCATGCTAGATCATCCAGCTACTGGCCAATGCACCAGCTGACCACAGGTCCATGGGCAAGCTCCGCAGAGATCGGAAGTGACTCAGATCAGAAAAACCACCAGCCAACTAACAAAATAGGTGAGTGATTTAAAAAAAAGACCATTGCTGTAAGCCACTAAGCAACAGTAACTAACTAGTTAACTAGTATGGAATGTGACCTGAATCTGTACTCATACTAATGTAGTATTGAATAGTAATAGACAAATAAGAAACTACAAAAATATTCCAGAATGCAATCTCAATATATATAAAAAATGTAATATATCCTGGGTCATAGGGTAGCTCTATTTTTAACTTCTTGAGGAACCAAAGGGGCACCTGCACCCCAAGGTTTATAGCAGCAATGTACACAATAGCCAAACTATGGAAAGAGCCCAGATGTCCATCTACAGAGGAATGGATAAAGAAGATGTGATGTGTGTGTGTGTACAATGGAATATTACTCAGCCATCAGAAAGGATGACATCTTACCATTTACACCAATGTGTATAGAACTGGAAGGTATTATGCTGAGCAAAATAAGCCAATCAGATAAAGACAATTATCATATGGTTTTGCTCATATGTGTAATATAAGAAATTGTGCAGAGGATCATAGGGGAAGGGAGGGAAAACTGAATGGGAAGAAATCAGAGAGGGAGACAAACCATGAGAAACTCTTAACTCTAGGAAAAAAACTGAGGGTTGCTGGAGGGGAGGTGGGTGAGGGGACAGGGTAACTGGGTGATGGGCATTAAGGAGGCCATGTGATGTGATGAGTGCTGGGTGTTTTGTGCAGATGATGAATTACTGAACTCTACATCTGAAACTAATGATATAGTATATGTTGGCTAATTGAATTTAAATTAAAAAAATGTAATATGTGACAACGACGGGTATTTCAAGACAATGGAAAAAATGATAAATTATTTAGTAGTTCTAATGGTAGGTTATCTCTCTAAAGAAAAGTAAGTTTGGATATCTATCTATCTCATGCTAAATGTAAGAAAAAAAGTAAGTGAATAAACTATTTAAATGTAAGAGACAGAAAATCAAAGGACCATATACACACAACAACCTAGGGGTTGGGGAGACCCCAATAAACACAGAAAACCCAGAAACATTAAAAATAATATAGTTGTAACTGACTGTAAAAATAGAGGGGAAAATACTATAAAGTCAATAAAATGGGAAGAATGGGGGAAGGAGACAGCAATACAGTTTACAGATAAAGGACCAGTATCTGTAACATACAAAGTTATCACGTATACCCAAAAAACAAAATAGTAAAGTCTACATATGTGTAAATTGCAGAAGAGAAAATTCAAATGGACAACTAACATAAAAAGATGCTCAAGTTCACTGGTGGACAGAGAACAACAAAGTGTTACTTATATATCCATTTCCTGCCAAGGGTTAAAAACTACAGTAACACTGATTACTGGCAACAATGGAAGAAATGTACTCACATACATCACTTGTAGACATATTACTTATTACAGCCATTTTGGAAAGAAACCTGGAAACATCTATTCAAAATAAAAATGCACCTTTGACCCAGGAATCTCTTTCAACCCAGAAATCTCACTCTCAGGAACCTATCCTAGAGAAATAAAAGGAACTGATGGGTACCTGGGTGGCTCAGTTGGTTAAGTGTCTGCCTTTGGCTGAGGTCATGATCCTAGGGTCCTGGGAGGGAGCCCAGTGTCAGGCTCCCTGCTCAGCGGGGAGTCTGCTTCTCGCTCTCCCTCTGCCCCTCCCCCCCACTCATGTTCACTCTCTCTGTCTCTGTCTCTCTCAAATAAATAAATAAAAATTTTTTAAAAAAGAAATAAAAGGAACTGAATGTAAGAGTGTTTATTCCAGCATTGTTTCACAGGGGCAAAAAAAAAAAAAATCAGAAAAAAAGGCATATCCATCAGGAGAATAAGATTAAATAAATTTTAATGCATCTACATTTTTCATGGAATACTGAGCAGTCATTAAAATGAATTTGAGCAATAACAATTAACTTGATGGGATTTCTATTAACTACTGACAAACAGAAAAATAAGGTGTAGAAAAATGTATGGGAGATATAATGCGGTTTTTTCTAAAGCAAACAAAGAACTCCCAAATCTCTTTATTTATATATTTATAAGTGAATAGATATCTATATTTTTGTAAGCGGTTATAGAAGCATGGAGAAACTATGCATAAAAAGATGCATTTTGTTAGCGTGGGTTGAGGGAGAATGAATGAGGCAAATGTGTGGCAAGAAAAACAGTGGAAGTTGAAAATAAAAATAGGAGAATGGGACAAAAGACACAGTAAAACAACACATATGGTATAATCCTATTTATGTAAAATGTCAATTTAGAACAAAAATATTACAAATTACATATGTAATTTATATATAATATTATTATGGACTATGACATATAATATATATTGAATAGAATACATATATATGTTCTATTCATTACATAGATTCCGACTTAAGCCAGAATGGAGATGATGAAGGAGTATGAAGTAATTGACTTTGACTATACCCTGAAAGAGAGACACAAGGATTTGCTGAAGGATTTAGTGTGGCATTTCTCCTTGGGAAGAAAGAAAGGACACATGGACAGCTACAAGATTTTTGGGAGCTAAGTCAATGGAATGATGAGATTTCCATAAACTAAGATGGGGCAGAGCAGAGGTATAGTTGGTTTTGAAGAAAACATTAGGAGTTCTGTGTGAGACATGCTAAATTTTATGATACAGGCAAAGAGTGATGATGAGAACACAATAGGATATGCAAGTCTGATATTCAGGCAAAGATCCAGTCTGG